GGTCTAAAGCACCTACTTAGAACAAGCTTAGCAAAGCACAGGGACTGCGGTTCAATCCCCAGCACCACATGCCAGCCAGCCCCGCCCCCTGGTGGACTGAGCTGGCCACACACACACAAAAATAAATAAAATAAATAAATAAATAAAACTAACCACTGAATTCCTGCCTTCACATAACTACCAGGCTAATAAATTTTTGCTAGCTTTAAAAAAAAAAAAAAAGCCACACAGTTAAGAAACAGCTTCACTATAAATAGCCAAAGTGTTCTGGTCCTGTCATTAGTTAATCATATACGAAGCGGAGCTCTAAACCTGGCTGCTTGTGATGTGTCAGAGTACATTATGAAATGCCTTAGGGTTTGGTTTAGATATTGCTCCCTCGCAAAACTGACCTATAGGCCAGGTGCAGGGAGGCACACCTGTTATTCCAGCACTCTGAGAGGCTGAAGCAGGGGATCACAAGTTCAAGTCCTGCCTGGGCATCTTAGTGAGCCCATCCCTCAAGATAACAATTAAAAATAAGAGTTGGCATACTGCTCAGAGCAAAGGCCCTACGTTCAATCCCCAATTTTAAAAAAGACATATCCAGACAAGATATGGGTGAAAACTACTATTTTAACAACAGAGTTCCTGTTAAGGAAAGAACCTTATTTTTTAGGAAAACTAATTGCTAGAGCATCTTCATTCCATATGAGGCCTCTTCAAGGCATGTTCTGCAAGTGAAACTGTAAATGAAAGAAACTGAAAATACAAAGGATATGGCTAGCAGGGAATATCTAAGTGGTAGGGCGCTTGCCTAGAATGTGTGAGGCCCATGGTTTGCGTCCCAGCAGCACCTGTATCTCTGGCTAACTCTCTGCAGGTATGAACTAGAGGCAGAAAAAGAAAAAAGACAAGTGGAAGGGAGACTGAACACAAATTGGAAAGCTGTAGTCTGCAGACAGTGAAGCCATAAAAGGGGCCGATTGCAGGGAGATAGCTCAGCAGCATAAGTGCCTGCCTGGCAAGTCCAAGGTCCTGAGTTCAATTCCTGGTACCTCATGGCCATGCTCTGTCTTCTTGGACACATGGTAAAATGTCACTATAGTGGCAGTATCTGAGAAATAAAGAACAGGAGTAGTTTTGAGACAGCAGAAATGGGACACACTTAAGGGACAGCAAAAACTAATTCAGGATTAAACAGTAACTCAAAATCAAGGAACAGTCACAAAGCAAACTCGTTTCCCTATCCCTGGACTTAGAGAAACTAGTGTCATGCACTCCAGACCTGAAAATGTAGCTCACAGAAAATTAAGATTGGGAGGATGTATTCTATCAACTTAGAAAAAAAGGAGATTTTAAAAGATGAAAAATGAAGGAAATGTAGAATCATTACTTTAGAGAAGCTCTATGCTCTAGGCGTGAAGACAGGTGCTAGACCACTGCTCCGGGAGGGAGGAAGGCAATTCCAAACAATTTAAAGATTAAGCTCGCATTTTTTTTTAAGCTCGTATTTTTCGTCTATTGTTTGTAAGACCCTCAAAGTCTCACAATAGAATGATTGGCAGGGAAAGTAGAGACCTTTACATGCTGGAGAGGGAAGGAGGAGAAGCACAGACCCCAAGTGTCCCCCAAGGCCATGTGAACACAGGCCTGAAATGTGCGTGAACAGCTATGCACAGCAGAGGGCTGACGCAAGTGGGCGGGACTTGTGTAGCCGGCAGCGCTAAATTGGTCACCATCCTCCTTCTTTCTGAGGTTCCCCTACAGTGCCAGTGTTTTCTGCTGTCTTACTTCAGGGACTCTCTGCCCTTGGCCACGCTCTGTCCAGTGTCCCTAACTTGCCCAGACTCCTCACACCTGCGGGTGACAACCACTGCTCCCCTTACCTCTCCTGGTCCCACCTGCCTGCTCCCCTAAGGCATGTATATGGTCCACAATTCATACAAGGCCTGTGCACCGCCGTGTTCAAGGGTGTCCCCCAGTCACACTCCTGGACTCACACACACTAGACATTTAAGTGGACCTGCTGTGAGCTCACTCCTTCTCTCACCTCACAGCACCATGCTTTTCTCTTCACAATTTACCGCCTTCCTTCTCTATCCTGCCCCCGATGTGCATGCTGTCTCCCAAAGCCCAGTAAAAGACACCTGTCCTCTCCTTCCAGTTTCAGTCCCAAGAAGAAAGGAAAATGGGGCATTTCCTGCTGGCTGTCTCACTGGGACCTGCATCTCCAGGCTCTGCTGAGCTCCAGTCATCTGTCCCACCTGATTTGCTGTCATCTCAACTTCAGGGCAAAGGCTGAAGCCCCACAAATTCCACCCAGCCAGAAAAGCTTTGCGATCCCAGGTGTCATTCCTGTCTTATAAAAACACCCTCTCAAATCAAAGGGCGGATTCTGGCTGAGGACCCCTCTGCACCTGCCTGCTCCCGAGGGCATCTGGAGTCACAGCAAGTTTTCTTGGACCACTGCTGCCATGGGATTTCCCTCAACACGTATTCACTGACCACCCAATCTGGGTCACATCCTGATGCCTATTCGCAGCCTCTGAGCTGGCCTATTACTTAGTCAACTGATTTTTAATGTCTTAATTAACATTTCTTATTGTTGAGAGAAAATACCTGACATCCAAAGTTAAAGGAGAAAATATTTCTGCTCAGTTTGTAGGGCTTTCAGTTCATACTGGATTGGCTCCGAGGGTGGGTGATATAGCAGAGGGTCACCACAGAGGAGAAACAGTTCTTGGCAAGTAGAAAACAACAAAAGCAGCAAGTACAACCCTTTTTCTGTCCCTTATGTTCTATCCAGGCCACCCACCCTTAAGGTGGGTACCACCACACTCATGGTAGGCACCCTTAATCCCAGCATCACATTGCCAATCCCAGCATCATACATCCTAGATCTATCCACCTCCAAAAAGCCCCACATACGACTATGTGAGACTTTACAATAAAACAAACAGAAGAAAATCTGAGACATCACCCAGATGCTTGGGGACACTAAAGTGAATAAGGTGTGTAGACGGTTGTTTGAAGTTAGGGGACAGAGAAAATAAAGAAAGCACAGAGGAGAGTTGGCCAAATAGCTCAGTAGATTAAAAAGGCTGTAAACAGGCACAGGGGCTTGGTTTCCATCTCCAGGCCTGCCATGCCTGCCCCGCCCCTGGGGCATGCTTAGATGGCAACTGAGACTGGGCCTAGGTGTGGTGGCGTGGACCTGTAATCCCAGCTCTTGGGAGGCTGCAAACAGGCGGATCACTACAAGTCTGATCTAGTAGTGAGACCCTGAACACCCTCTAGACCCTTCCCTAAGAAAACACAGAGGGAATTTACAGGCAGGAAGTGTCCCTTCAGAGAGAAGATGCTGAGAAACTCTTCATGAAGCGGAAATAACAGAGGACTGGCATGGACAGGATTAGCTGGGTCTGGACATGAGTAAACGCATTCACAGAGTCACATCAAGATTTCATCCTCCACTATACCTCGGAATTCCCCATTCCTGCATCTTAGTACAATCTATCTATTTTTAATTTTCTTCACCTACAAAACACAGGTAATAGCAACATCCTGCCCAGAGGCCTTCAGTTAAGACTAAGTGGACGCACAGCCCAGGAGCTGTGTGGCAGATGATCTGTGTGTGATATCTTGAAACACAATGGAGTGCAAAAAAGACAGACAATAAGACACCAACTAGAACAAGAGACAATTGTGTACATTAAAGGAGCATCACACAGGGGCTGCAGGGATTGGGGGGAGGGGCGGCCAGGGCAACAGAAGGGAGCGATTGGGGAGAGGCTCTAACCCTGACTGGAGACAGTCACATGATCTCTCATGCATGCAGGAAAAGCAGCCAAAGTACAACAGGTCAACAATGGCTCAGGGAGCAGAAATGAGATGAGAAGCTTCGCCCCCACAAGAACCTGGCTCCAGGGGATGAAAGCAGCAGGGCAGCAACGGATAGCTCATATCCAAAGATGTGAGATATTATTTTGCCCTGAAGAAAGTAAAATTGAAGCCATTTTGAAATACTGATGAGAGAGCTAGTGGAAAAGAGAACAAAGCAGCTGACAAAGGAGATAGTTAAGGAGGCAGCCTAAGGTCTTGGCAGGCAGGAGGGTTTGCAAGTTGAGTGTTAGGAGGGTATGCCTTGGAAAGAAATGGCTTGACCAGGTGTAGGCAGATGTAACCCAACATTCACTCCCCTGCAAGGCATGATGGTGCATGCCTGTAATCCCTGCACTCCTCAGGCTGAGGCAGGAGGATTATTTCAAGTTTGAAGCAAGCCTGGGCTACAAAGTGAGCTCAAGGCCAGCCTCAAATACATACCAAGACCCTGTCTCAAAAAGACAAAAAACAAAAAAATCCATTCCCATTTTCTCCACCAGGCTCAGGGGTGGAGAAGCATCTCCAGGATGGGCCTAACTAGTCTACAACAACCAGCAAAGCCCCTGCTCCTTGGACACAGTGATTGGTCCAGCAATGGACATGTGATTTGATTCTGGCCAACAAGACTAAAGAGACTTTTGTTGGGGCTTCATAAAAAAAGGCATTCCCACTTTGCTGAGAGAGCTGAAGGAAGTCTACTGGAAGGTGAGGAAGGCTGCAGCCCTGCCCAAGCTGGCAGCCATGCCATAACTGTAAGCAGTATGGCCCCTGGGCACAGTCAACTCTAGGATGAAGTAGAAGGAAGAAAAGATCCTAAACCTTGATAAGATCTTTGAGTCACTGGATCACCCAGCCATGAAGACTGCCCTTCATCAGGACACAGGAAAAAAGCCACATTAGAGCTGCTCACAGTGGTGTAACCTCAGCACTCAGGAGGCTGGGGCAGGAGAAGCATGTGTCTGAGGCCATCATGGGCTACATAGTGAGTTCAGAGCTGGTGTAAACTACAAGAAAAGACCCTATCTCATAACAAAACAGACATTTGATTATGGTTTCCAATACACATGACTTCTCTCACTGAGGGACATCCTTTCAGTGCAACAAGAGGAACAAGACACATGGAGAGGCAAGAACTGAGAGACAGTGGCAGGTGGAATGTTGCCATAGTTCGCTGTGAAGTAAAAAGTGATCCAGATGCTAAGAGTGAGGAGCATGTTTTAAGGAGTACAGAGATTCAGGAGAACAGTAGAGACTGGATGTGAATGTCCAGGGATGTGACTGTCCTGCATACCGCCACTCTTCCACAACCACCATCCCTTGGGGAAGCCTCCAGGTTTGCAGGAGAAAGGCGGTGGTAACCAGAACAAGGAGAAATGGAGTTGAAGGTGTCAACACAGCACAGCAGTGGATGAAGCAGTGGTTGAACCTCAAGGTCCAGGATAGACTGGGAAGAGTGTTAGAGGAGGAAGGAGCAAATGAGTAAAAAGAAGACAGAAAAGGATAAACAAGCCGTAGTCTTCCTTGGATCAAAGAGCAGGAAGGGAAAGCACCAAGGACATAATGCAGACAGATCTGAGTAAGGACTGAAGAGTCCCTGAATAACACAAAACAGGCATCTGGGCCCAGCACCCTCCAACCCCCTCAGCTTCTGAGTGTTGTTTCCAGATTAGCTGAAGTGGGTGGGTTCAGATCTAAATGAAGCTGAGTGGACACAGGTAAGAACTCAGACGGGCCTAATTCTTCCTATATCACCGAGAGCCAAGATCAAATTGGTTAAGTTGACTGTTTCTTAAAGCTTTGTGGGGGGAAAGGATATTCTGCAAAGGAGAAGAAAGACACATTGGAGAAATAATTTTTTATGTATTTCGTACAAGGTCTACAGGGTCTCACTACACAGATTGGACTCGTAGTGATCCTCCTGCTTTTTCCCTCTCAAGAGCTGGAATTACAGATGCATACCACCACGCCCAGTCTCAGTCATCATCTCAGCATGCCCTGGGGGTGGGGCCAGCATGGCATGCCAGGGATCAAACCCTGGTCCCCGCATCTGCCTAAGCAGGGGCTTTAATCTGCTGAGCTATCTGGCCAGCCCTAAAAATAATGCTTTTAAATCATCCCTTCAAATAGTGTACTGGTTGATACATTATGTACTCAACTTGAGAAGTTTAGAAGTGTAATTAAGTGACTCAACAGGGAGCCAGGATTCTTACTTTGTAAACATCCTCATCATGTACAAGAGGAGAGCATGGCCATTGTGTGAGTTTTACACCTCCAGCCCCAGAGTAGCTTGTTTATAATATAAGCAGAGGCAAGAGACTGGCTAGAAGCCACAGCTGCTGCACTTCCCTTTGCTCTTGACTGATTTCTGCTGCCATGAACTGCTGCTCTCTGCCATGTGCCACTCTTCCTGGGAGCCAGCCGAGTATAGACTGAAAGCTCCATAAACTGTGAGTTAAATAAACCTTTCCTTCCTTAATTTTGGGTATCAGGTATTTTGTCCCAGCAAACAGTGAAAAGTAACCGAGACAGAATTTGGTACCAGGAGTAGGACTGCACCTGTGAGTACCTGACCATGCTGTACAAGAGCTTTCAGGAATGGTTTATGGAAAGAGATACGAAAGGTTTGGAGATCTCCCCTCCCCGCAAAGACTGGAATGCCTTCAGCTCTTCTGTATGGGAGATTCTTGTCAGAGCTCAGAAGACCATAATGCTGACAGAAATCCTGCCTGTAAAGACCAGGTGAGGGAAGTTTCTGCTGGAAAGGACTGCACTGGTTGTTGGACTACAGTGATTTATGCTATGGCTTGGCAGGAAGTTTGTCTGCATTTTGCTTGTGACCTGAAACTGAGCTTAAGTACAGTGGACTAGTTAATCGTGCAAAAGAACTCTCAAGGCAGTCAAATGTTGAGGCAGGGGCATAGTTATTGTTGGGAGCTTTTAGTCAGATATATGTTGAGAGTCAAGAGCAAAGAGACCAGCAGGATGATTGAAAATGTGAGTCTTTCCAGAAAGGAAGCTCCAATAAAGTTGTGGACTGCAAAGACAGAGCTGAGATCACCATTGCTCAGGAGGAACAGAATATAAAAAATATCCTGAGGGCATCATCACAGGAGGTGGCAGGTTCTTGCGCTTTGCAGCCTGAGAAACACAAGGGTAAGGGACTTTGTTCTGAAGAAAAAGCCACACCGCCCCATGTTCTAGAATGGAGGCAGCAGCCACACCAGGTTCCAGAATGACAGTGGCAGAGAGAATTTGTTTCTCAGAATCAGGATCACACTGCTCAGTGACCCAGGCACTCGACCCCTACAACCAAGAGAGAAGAAAACCTGGCTACCACTCCAGCTGGCAGCAGACCTTGGCATCGTCCATGTGGTGTTGGTTTTAGACGCATTCAGGCTTCCACCTAGATTTCAGAAGGCCTGCAGGGCCAGGCAATGTACCCCTGAGAGGACAATGTGTAAAGCAGTGAGTGAGAAGCCTATTCAGTGGAAACCCTGTAAGTTTGGAAGAGCTAGGAACATGGATTGTCTGAGAAAAGCTACATGGAAGGAGCAAAGCCAGCCTTAAAGAAAAGCCATGGGAACTACCAGCTGAAGTGCTGTAGGAGTGGAGCCATGTAAGGATTTTGGTGCTCACAACTCATTACAGATTGCTTCAGATGTTCCACATGGACCTACAGGACTTAATGTCTGCCCTTCTGGATTTGGACTTGTTTTAATCCCAATGGTTTGTATGCTCCTGTGTATACCTTTTGGAATGGTAATTTTTTCTTGTGTCATTGAATGTTGGAAGAGTTTAGCTTTTCATTTGTACAAGGGCTCACAGCTAAGAGTTTGCCTTAGATCTTGGAAGGGACTTGGAACTTAAGACTTTTCAGCAATACAGAAACTGTATGAACTTTGGCAACTCTTAAGAGATGGACTAAAATGCCTTTTCATAAAGGGATGTGCGTGAGTCTTTGGTGGGGGTTGCCCAGGGGCAAAATGTCATGGTTCTAATGTAATATAATGTTCATGTTATAAAATGTTAATAAGCATGGCTGGGTACCTGGAAACTAGTTTAAGGAAAAGTCTGGTTGCCAAATTGACAAGGGGTGGATTGTACTGAATGATACACTGTTTCAATTTGAGAAGTTTAGAAGTTTAATTAAATGACTTAGCAGAAAGCCAGGATTCTTACTTTGTAAACATCCTCATCCTGTGCAAGAGGAAGGAACGGACATTGTGTGAGTTCTACACCCCAGCCCCAGAGTAGCTTGTTAATAATATAAAGAGGGGAGAGAGGCTGGCTATAAGCCACCCACAGCTGCTGCCCTTCTCTTTGCTCTTCGCTGATTTCTGCTGCCAGGAAGTGCTGCTCTCTGCCATGTGCCACTGTGTGTGGGAGCCAGCTGAGTATAGACTGAAACCTCCACAAACTGTGAACTAAATAAACCTTTCCTTCCTTAATTTTTGGTGTTGGATATTTTGTCCCAGCAAGGAGTGAAAAGTAACCAACACAAATAGTTTTTGTAAAGGACTCACCTCTGCATTCATCTTGGTCTCTTCAGTGGCTGTGAAGACAAAAGCAGAGGTTCAGGATTCTAGTGGCACCACCCCAAGCTCCACACAAACACTCTCCCAGGACCCCCACTTTCCCTTGCACCACTTTTTGTCCTGTCAGTTCCAACTTCCACAAATGCTTCCAGCAAAAATCATCAGGTGTCTTCCGCTTTAGGGCTGCTGATGGCCACCTTCCTTGGGGCATTTCCAAGACCCCTCTCCCATGGAGGAAAGAGCAGCTAGAAACTGGAGGCCCCAAGGGAAAGATGAGCTCCACAAAGTTGGTGCTTGGAGAGGATCTAATTTCATTTTATTTAGTTTAGTTTATTATTTTTTTAAAACAGTGTTTCACCACACAGTTCAGACTGGCCTTATACTCACTTGGTAGAACAGGCTAGACTCAAATACCCAGTGATCATCCTGTCTCAGCTTCCCAAATGCTGGGATTACAGGTGTGTACTACCATGCCTAGTCTAATTCAATTTTTTTTTGCTATGCTCAGGATTGAACCCCAGGTCTTGTACATGCTAGGCAAGCACTTCACCACTAAGCTGCACTTACCTCTAAGGATGATACAGGGTCTCACTATGCAGATCAGACTCATAGTGATCCTCCTGTCTCAGCCTCCTTAGTGCTGCGATTATAGGCATGTGCCACTACACCAAGTTCCTGGGCCAGCATGGCATAGCAGGGCATGCAGTACTGGGGATAGAACTCAGGACCCTGTAATTGCCAGGCAGGTGCTCATGCTGAGGAGCTATCTCCCCAGCCCTGAGGATGGTTCTTAATCTGCCTTTCTTTAATGGAAACAAAGCAATACATTTTTTCCCTTTTCTTTTTTCTCCTAGCTGAGTTTCCAGAGGACTTCAATTTATTGTGTTAAAAAGACAATGGGACAGTCAGGGCCACCCTTGGAGAGACTGGAATTGGAAGTAGGACAGAGGCCTGTAAAGATTAACTTTTTCATTCATTTTTCAGAGCTGCGAACAGCTTTCACTATAACTAACACTGGGCAAGATAACCAGGGGCAATGAAGAAAGGGCTAAAGACACCTCTCCAGCCTCTCCCCCAGGAGCAATGTCCAGGAGGCCAAGGAGAAAGGGCAAGAATCTCATGGCCTCTGACAAAGAAAGGCTGACTCCCCATTCTGATCCCAGCCCTGTATATGATCTGATTCTTTCTGGATAACATGAATAATAACAGTGAAGCAAAATCCCATTAAAAAGGAAACAACTTGACTCCGGTGACCCAAAGACTACCTAGGGAAGACCACATGGCAATCACCTGGCCCTCACCCTGGGAAGCACAGTATCTAAAACTCCTCCCCTTTCTTTTTCCACTCTTTCCTGCTGCGAGACTGGGTCTCATGATGTGGTCAGCATACTCGTCTTTCCTTTCACAGTCTGGAGACTTTTCCTATCACTTGACACATATGAAAAAGGGATCTTGAATAAAAACCTAAACAGCTAAGTGGGACAAAGTGAGCAGACCTTCTTTTTTACTTCTAGGGAGCCAGTCAATGTGATTTCCCCTGTGCATGAAGTATCTCGAAGGGATGACTTAGATGCTGACAGCTAATTTTTGGGTGAGGCTGAGAGAGCTATAGCTGAGTGCAGGGTACATATAGGACAGCAGTGTAGGCCACAGAGGCCCCTGGGCAGCTCTAGCTGCCCTCCGGAAATTCCGCCACAGCTTCCTTGGGAATGAGGAAGTCAGATAAAAAACCACACAAATATGAGGAGGGTGATAAAGAGTTGGGATCCTATATGTCAGCTGCTTTATATATATTAAACCCAATGCTCACAATCTTGGCAGAAACAGTTAATATTAATTGCATTTTATACATGAGGTACCTGAAATTCATGGATGGTACAAGCACCCTTAGCCAAGTTTCTGGAGGACTTCAATATATTACGTGACAAGAGCAATCAATCAGGCTCCTCTGATTAGCATTCGAGGTCTCACAGGCCTTTGTCTCACTGCCAAGGCACTGTGGCATTGCCCTGTCGTTTCCAGACTTTCCAGTTCTGAAGCCATGCCTGATTACCCTCACAGACTTCTACAGAACTTTCTTACTCTCATTCTGAGGGCTTTTAGGACAGGAGACCTAGTGTTTGAGCCTCTGTCATCATGGGCATCCACCATGGTGGTCCACAGTGTCCACATTCATAGGCTGAAAAGCTGGACTCCGAGGTCAGCTTCAGCTCTAAGATACTCACTGGTTCCCAGAAAAGTCAACTCAGGTACTTCTTAAACATATGAAATAATATCTGACCTCGGTCATGATCAAAGATATAAACTAAGATTTCACCAAGTGATCCTCTCAGATGAACAGATCAAAGTGTGTGCTGAGGCGTGTGGTCCAAGATGGGTGAAGAGCACACTCTGTTACTCCTAGGGGACTAGAGGTGAGGGTCAGCTCTGTGTGGACACGTAAGCTTCAGTTATTAAAATGCCAAAAGCCCACAACCTGTGACCCAATAACTGCAGCACTACTTACTTCTGTCTCCATCCCCAAACCACATTCAGAGGAAATCACAATGAAAACTCACAACAAAACTCCCTTAAGAGCAATCTATAAAACTTTATGAATTTATGAACTTCAGTGGTCTCCCACAGAATCTGGTGTAAAGCAAAGCAAAACAAAAAAGCAGATTCAGAGGACTGATGCAAAGAATCCCCTTTGGAAACACTACCGTGTTCAGGCACGAGCATGTCTCACTCCTGATGACTTCCCCTCCAGCTTTCAGCTCCCCTCATCACATAATGGAACTGGCAGGAAATGTGGAATCCCAGATTAGGTGAGATCTGGATCCACTTTCCACACTTGCCACAGGTTGGATCTGAAATGTCTGCCAAAGGCTCATGTGTTAAAGGCTCAGTCACCTGCTTGAGGCATTATTTGGGGGTGGTGGAAGTCTTCAGCGTGGGCTCTAGTTGCAGGAAGTTAGATCAATGCATTTGAGACCATGAAGGTAATAATGAGACTCAAGTCACTTCTGGTCTCTCTTTTCACCCAGAGTGCCTTGAGGCAGGTGGTCACCCCTACCTTGCACACTCGCCATGATATGCTGCCTCCCTATAGGCCCCAAAGCAACAGGCCAGTGGACCATGGACTGAAATCTCTACAACCATGAGCCAAAATAAAGCTTTCAGGCCAGCAAGATAGCTCAGCAGTCTAAAGTACCTGCACAGGCAAGCTTAGGCAAACACAGGGACTACAGTTTGATTCCCAGCATCACAGGTTATGCTAGCCCTGCCCCAGGGCACACTGAGCCCGAAACAACAACAAAAATAAATAAAATAAAAAAATAAAGCTTTCCTCTTTCAACATTGTTCATCTCAAGTATTTAGTCACAGTGATAGAAAGCGATCTCAATACCCTCTCAGCCCACCACACACCTCCCCCTCCATGCCTCCTCACTCTCCTGCCAAGACCCATTTGTATTTAAAAAGAATCCAGGGAAAATTCTATGGTTTATTAGATCCTAAAGCATCCAGGGCCTAATCCCACGATAAGATTTAGGTTTGTTTACTTTGTTATGTCAAAAGTCTAATATTTAAATGGTCAAACAAAAGCATTTTAAGTTGTCATTTAGTATTATGTTTAGTTTTTTTCTAAGATACACATAGATACATTTTTTTCTTAGATTTCTAACATTTTTGTCCTGGAGACTGAACCCAGAACCTTGCTCTGAGATATGTTCCTAGTTACTTTATTATTTTATTTTGAGGTAGGGTCTCACGAAGTTTCTTACACTGCCTTGAACTTGTGATTGCCTGCCTGAGCCTCCCAGACAGCTAAGACTAGAGACACGAGCCAGCAGCCCTGCTTCTTTATTTAGTCTTTGTATTTTTATTGTAGTAGTATTATGATAAGTATTATTTTTAGTGAGTGTGTGGTGCTAGGAATTCAAACACGATCTCTTGCATACTAGGGAAGTGTCCTACCCCTAAGCGCCACCTCAAGACCAGAATTTATTTTTCTAGTCAATCTAAATTGCATTTTAGTACATAACCTAAGACTTTACTTTTCCCCAAATAACTGAGTTGCTTCCACATTGATTATTGAATATTTCATCCTCCTCATCCAGTGGCTCTATACTTAATTCTTATTGGTACAGTTATTCTCTTCATAGTCCCTGCTGCGCCATGAATGTGTATTTCCAAGCCTATAATAATATACTGTTCATAACTTTATACTGACTCTACATACATATACTCACTATAACTTTGCCATGTACTGATATATGGTCATTCAAGTTCTTTTGTCAATTTTGTTCATTATTCTTATCTTTTCTTGCTTGCTTAGATATCCAGATCAATTTTAGAACATTTCTGCCAAGTCAACAAAAATTAGATTGGGATTATATAACTGACTATTCAGATTTATAAATTAAAGTAGGGAAAATTGATCACCCTTTCCATCCAGAAACATTGTATGCCTTTCCTGGAGTAGTCATTTGGAAATTAATTACAAAAGAAAGAATAATAATCATGAATAATATTCCTGAGGAATAATCTTGAGTTAGTTCCTGTTTGACCCCATAAGGAAAAATGAAAACTCAAACTAAATTTTCAATTTCAGTAGAAAGATAAAAAATATGGATTCTTTGCATAAATAGCTTACTAAAATGATCTTAAGCAGGTTTCTCCTCCCCCCATGTCTACTGTAGGAAGTCTACTAAGCAGTAGAGGAGTTTGAGCCTTTATTTGCTTTGACCCCAAAGCACAATATACCCAGATACAAAGTGTCAGGCTCTCTCTCTAGGGGTTGAGAACCCTGCCTTCAGTTCAAGGAACCAGAATTCTAGACCTTCATGGGCCTCTGCTAGCTATATGATCACAGTGTGGGCCTGTGATTACACAACCCATTAGTTTGTACACCTAGAAAAAGGGGAAATGGTGAGAAATGTAGACCATTTGGGGCCACAGAGATATCTCAGTGGTCTAAGCGCCTGCCTGGCAAGTGCAAGGACCCAGGTTTGATCCCTGATACCACATGCCATGTCTAGCCCTACCAAAACTGGGTGTGGTGGTACATGCCCCTAATCCCAGCACTGGGGAGACTGAGTCAGGTGGATCACTAGGAGTCTGAACTGCATAGCAAGACCCTATACTGAAGTAATTAATTGATTGATTGATTGATTGATTGATTGATTAAAAAAAGAAACATAGATGATCTTAGATGATCCCTATTGGACTCAGGGTTCACAAGGGAATACATTTAATACAGGAAACATAATTTATAGTCATTTTATAATATTCACCAAAAAAAGTCAAGTGCAAAAGGCTGCAAGAGATCTGTCCATGCACTAGAGACCCAAAGAACCCAGGTGAGGGCCTATATCCAATGCCAATTCTGCGTAAGTCCCGCTAAAGACTTAGAGCCCATAGCAGCGTCCTCCCCAAGTTCAGTAGTAGCCTCAGGAGGCCTAGAGCACAAGATCATGTCTCATATGAGTCTCATCCAGGATCTGCACTAGGAAGGCCCAAAGGTCAGTGGTGGAAGCTAGAAAGTCTGCAACAGCGGGCTGAAGGACTCTGTGCCAGCAGGCTGAGGGATCTGCACTGGAGCTAGGAAGTAACGTTCCAGGTAAGGATCAGAGCTCCCCTGAAGAGAACTGCAGTCATGCTCAGCAACAACGAGGTCCCACGAGGAACCAAGCTCCTCCGACCATGAGAACAGCTGAGTTTCTATCACAAAAACCTCCAGGAAAATCAACAGCATGCCATCTTCCCCTCCAATTCTCCTTTTAGGCTGCTGGCAACAATCCTCCATGGGCCTTTCACATGGAGAACCACACCGATTCAGTTTATCCAGATGTTACAAGTTGATGGTTAGTTAACACCCCACAACCGCTATGCTTAGAGTGCAGACATGGTATTTTGTTGTTGTTCTTTTCTGGTTTTCCTAGGCTGTGGGGATTAGTTAACTGGAGGTTCTTAGGCGCTCCTCTGATTTCCAGGGGCGGAGAGCATGCAAACTAGGTCAAGGCTCATGTTCTTACAGCTGGGAGGCCGCTGCCACCAAGGCCCCATGCACAGAAGTGCTGATTGAGTAGAACCTGTCCCTGTCTTTACCTCTTTCAAAACAAAAGCCACTCCATTCCTAGTCCTGCCTACCTGCTTCACATCCTTGATTCCCCCTTGGGTCCATTTCAAAGGCAGTCTGCAGTCTCTCGTTGTATTGAAAATGATCTGGAGATAAGAGGGAAATGAGATGACATCTAACAAATTACTCCTACTGAGGAATGTCAAGTATACTTAAGCTTGAAAGTGTAGAAAGTACAGTAAGACAGCTGCTTATCAGCGCAAGTACTTATAAGACAATGTGCAGCTCAACTTCCAAACTGGGTTGAGATCAAAATATTCTTGGGTCCCATATACATGTCCTTGGGGAAACACACACACACACACACACACACACACACACACACACACTGCCACAGCTACCCCTCAGGTAAGGTCCAGGATATATCCTTGATCCCTTACTGCTGAAACACTGGTACTTTCTGGCCCAATCCTACATGAGCTGCTTGGATGGGCTCAATACAACACGACTCACAAGTGCAATCAAAGGAATATAAATCTGCCACATGAGCAAAACAGGTGTGGATCTAACTTTTCTAAACATTTGAAAAGCTTAATAATTACACTTTTGGCCGGGGGATGGCTCAGTAGAATAAATGCTTCCCTGGCAAGCGCAAGGGTCTGAGTTCAATCCCCGGTTCCGGAAAAAAAAAAAAAAAAAAGAAAAAGAAAAGAAATTACACTTTTAAGGATCTCTAGAATAAAAGTATGCAGCTCAATTACAAAAGATACCACAATGTGCTGTGTCCTTGATACTAATTTCAGAAATCATTTTTGTTTTGCAAAGGAAAATTGTCTCTTAGTGACAAGGGGGAAAGAAACTCCCAACCCGAAAGTGATCTAGGATGAGTTCATGTTCTCCAAAACTGACAAATGAATTTTAGGAGCAACGGAGGTTAAAATCAGAATATATTCATTGAGGGAAAGAAAACTTCTGTCCAAGAGAGGGACAGAAGGGGACTCGAGCGGACTGCCCAGGAGCCTACCTTTTATTGGGATTTTTATAGAGCAAATCCATGGTGCAAGGCAGGTCCAAGGTGAAAAACATGGGAACTCAAAAGGTGTGTGTGAGGTGGGACAAAACTATGACCAACCAGTAACATTACAAGCACAACTGCTAAGGTAAAAATTGATTAAATTGAGATCAAATGAAGCGAATCATGTAGCGAGTCCATCCGAATACAGAACAGGAACTTTTCCAGTTGGGGGTTGGGGTTAGTGACTCTTCCTGGCTTTCTCACGCTGATAGAGACCTATTTAGAACATCAATCCTTGATGTCCATCCCTTGGGAGGTATGTGACTGCATTTGTTTAATTTTTTGTCTGGAAGTCTGGCCCAGAGCAGAGGGGTCTGTCTCTCCCACAGGTGCAAAGTATCTTGTCTTCTACACTGGCTCCTTTGAGGGTCCAGCTCTGCCTGACTACCTATAATACTGCTATCTAACTCAGCTGCCTGCAACATTAGCCACAAATTCTGAGGTTTGAAGTGAAAACTGAATTTTCTGATACAGTTTCTGTGACAGAATGGAAAAGGCAGTTAAAGAAAAATTATTTGGTACAAATGCAAAACATACAATATAGCTAACATTTACACAAGCACCAGAAAATATTTTGTTTTAGTGCACCAAGCAGGACAAGTGAATTGAAATAGGGACAATTAAACAAAAACTTAAAGAGGTTCTGCAGAACCAAAAACCAGAATGACTTAGGTCAAAATGTGATGGTATCCCACAAGTATATTTTCATTTCCCATAAGAAATTCTGAATTCTACTGAGGCACAAATCCTCTGGACCCATTGCTCTCTGTTCCCATCCTCCTCATTTCTTCAAGGGAAGCAGTCCTACTGCCCTCCTACACCACCTGAGAAGTGGGTTTCCATCTGGGTTTGGCCAATGAAGAACCAGTGGGCAGGAAACAGAGAGAGGGAAAGGCCAGGGCACTTGCATGAGAGCTGCCTGGTACTCTATTGTTCTGGCTGTGGCTGCATTCATAGCCACCACAGCCTCGGACAGGCCTCTCCCACGCTCCAGCCACCCCCATGCACCCCATCTCTGGTGTCCCCGCTGCCCGGAGTCCCACCCCACCAGACCAGAGTGGGAGGGTGCCCACCCCAGGAAGCTCTTTCCTGCATGCCTCCCCACTGTGTGTTGATTCCCCCACTCTTGCCAACTTGTTGCCAAAAAAGTTCCTTCCAGTTTGTGTTCTTTTTTCTCACTGGAAGAACTGATAAACTTGCTCCTCGAACTCTCACAGCAAATTAACATACAGGAAGGACAAAATGGCTTCATTAGCTTATGTTACACCTTTCTTTCTGTTTTAGATCCTCTCCCACATGCAAAATAGAAGTCTGAAATCTTTGGGCCACGTCAGCAATAATACAATGCTTTCCACTAACCCAGAGATTCTCACTGGCATTTCTGAGCACACACTGTGGGAGGGGGGGAGTGTGCCCCTCACAACAGGTGGGCACAGGCCAAGAAGGCTGCTAAACGTCCTGCACTTCACAGGGCATCATAGCCACATCACACCACAAACATGCACTAACAGAGTTATCCATCGCGTCAACAGCACCAAGGTGGGGTGACGTATCATACTGAATGGATTACAGATGTAATCCTCTTTCCCTCTACAGAGTCCTCCTAAGCACCAAAATCATTGCCCCAAAGCAAGACCAGTCCCAGAACAGGGGGAAGGATTAGGGAGAAGGTGGCCTTCTCAGGCAGGCCAGCACTAGCCTGAGAGGTTCACTCATCTTCCAAGTGAACTTTCCTTCCATTGAGAGAGTTGGATATTTTGGGACCTACCAAGGAAAATTTAATATGGGACAAAAGTTGAAAATGGACCTATAAAAATATTAATGGCAATTATGTCTCCGACTGATAGCATTTTCAAAGATTTAGTTTCTTAATGCTTACCCATATACCTTAAAATTTTCTATAAAGATTAATGTAATTACACATAATTCTAAAGCTAGAAAGTATATCTCATTCACTGACACATCTCTCAAAGCCCAAATTCCTTAACTGAATAGACTTTCATGGAAAATATATCAAAGTATCCCAATAATAAAGCCCACAGCACTTATACACAGCAAAGGAAACCAAGAGAATAAACAGACAACCTACATAAAGGAAGAAATTGTTACCAGCTATTCCTCAGACATAGGATGAATATCTAGCACATATAAGGAACTCAAAAAAAAAAAAAAAAAAAAAAAGATGCCCAATTAAAAGACTTAATCAAAAAATGGGAAAGTGAAATGCATAGATACTTCACAGAACCACAAATGACCAGTACTGCAAATGCATGAAGAAATGCTCAGCATCACTGGCTATTAAAGCAATGCAATTATGACAACACCGAGATTCCATCTTACTACAGAAAGAATGGCTACCATCAAGAAATCAAATAATAAATACAGCAGAAGCTGCGGGGTTGAGGCAGTAGAGGAAACTTTGTTCACTGTTAGTGGGACTGTAAACTAGTACAACCACTATGGAAATCAGTATGGAGAGTCCTCAAAAACTAAAAGTAGAAATTCCATTTGATCCAGCTATTGCCCTTTTAGGCATCTTCCTGAAAGAGTTCAAGACATCCTATACAGTGATACATGAATACCCATTTATAGCAGCATAGTTCGTAATAGCTAAATTTCGGAAGCAGCCTGTATGCCTATCAACAGATGAATGAATAAAGAAAATGTGGTTTTTAAACACAGTGGAGCTCTGTGCTGCTATAAGCATGAAATAATAAAAATAACAATAAACTTGAGTCACTTGTCGGAAAACTGGTACACCTTGAAACCATGATGTTAAGTGAAATAAATGACATAGACAGGCTCAAATATTGCATTATTTTTCTTATGTGAGAAACCCCAACTATAAATAAAGAGCAAAATAAAAGGCAGATGATAGGAAGTAGGGAGGCAGAGCTTTTTTGATGGAAAGGAGATCAAGAGATGGGGAGGGATGAAGAAAGAACTGAGATGGCTATGTACATGCACCAGATCTCCACAAGGAATGGAATCATTATGTGATGCAAATGTGTAATAATAAAACAATAAATGAAAGAATAAGTCCACAGAAAATTGTCCTTGCAACTGTGTAGGGAGAAACACTCTGCCTCGAACCTATTAATAATTGGGGGGGATGAATGAAGTATGTTTTATTTCTCAATGGTAAGAATCATGTTAAGTACCAAGTTTACTTTTCTAAAGATACATATTCATCTCCACTACAAAGAACAACTTAGACCTGCACTGGCCTGTAAGCTAGATACCTATCACTGAACACACAGGACTAATTAAATGTAAATGACTTAACCAGAGCACATTTCCACCACCCCAGAAAGTTCTACAAGCTCCAGGGGGCAGCACTAGCACAGAACTGCTTTCTCTCCCAGACTCACTTCCGGAGCTCACAATTTCTCTGCTTTCTTTTGTTAACATTCCATGCGACTTTGTTGTAAACTAACCTTAATTCCTTCCTGGAACAACCTGGTGCATCGGTACTTGGGACATAGCTCTGTGAACCTGCTCCTGGAAATCTGTTGCTGGGAGCTCAGCCCTTGTTTTGGACTGTCAGAGTCAGAAACTGGAGGACTCAATGAACAGTTTCAGGAATGTAGCTCCTCTGTCACGAAGTACAATCTTCAGAGGTTTTGCAGGGTGGTTGTTTTGTTTATGTTGTTTCTTATTAATGCAAATGTAAGAATTGTTCATTACTGAAAACACAACAACAATAAAAAGAAAACTAACCTTTTTTTCCTGGCAGCTCTTTTTTATTTTTTGTTTTGAGATGGGGTCTTACGAAGTCACAAAGTTGCCCATGCTGGGTGGAACCTTAAGGTCTTCCTAGTCCTCCTAGAATACTGGGATTACAGGCATGTGCCACCAGGCCCATCTCTAAAATATTATTTAATTAAACCTTAACTTGAGACCGGGTATATAGCAGCACACGTATGTAACCTCAACTATACATGAGGCTGAGGCAGCGGGCTCACATGGGTGAAGCAAAACCCCTGTCTCAAAATAAAAATGTAAAGGCTGGACATACAGCTTGGTGATACAGTGCCCCTAATTCCATAACCAGTACTGTCAAAAAAAATTCTTTTGATGGAAACTTAAGACATTTATCTGCAAATATAGAAAGGAAATTTCGTTTTCAAAGTCCAAATAATAGGCTTGTGTCTAAAATCTTAAATATACCATTATGGCAAAAACAAATGGCCCAACTTGTTATTACTGACACGTAGAATCATGTAGCTGGAGTCCTGGATGCGCCAAAGAGAATCAAGAATAAAAATGCTGAGACTGGTTGTGTTGGCCTGGCCTGTAATCCCGGCACTTGGGAGGCTGAAAACAGGAGGATCACTACGAGTCTGATCCATGTAGTGAGACCCTGTAGATCCTGTACTAAATACAAAAAGAATAAAAATGCTGCCCCAGGCCTGTAGAGGACCCCCTGCCAGTCCCGGGTTCCAGAGCAGCACTCTCTTTAACA